TTCCAAGCGAATAGCTAATCGTGATGTTCCCACGTCGTGAATTAATCGCAGTTCGAATGATAAATGACAGTGCTAATGATATCTCACGAAAGAGGAGATAAATGAAGAATTTTTGACGTTCTCGGGTAAATGGTTTTCCTAGTATTTGTTTGTGAATTGAAATTTCTCAGCTTAGATGGATGCTTTATTCTGTGGTCATAATTTTCGAAACTTGGCTTGTTTTGTTGATGAAAGCGAAAAGGTAAGTCTTATATTGTCTTCTGTAATGTCGAATATGATGATGGTAAGAAAAAATCTTCATCAAATGATCAGCTGCAACCTTTAGCACAAACACTATAGCCTACAGTGTTGGAACTGAAGTCAACAATTCGAAAACGGGGATAATCTCTCTCGATTCCGCTCTACATTGTGCAGCTCGAGTGTAATTGCATTCTAAAGCTATTTTCTTTTTCCTATGTTTTTAAGTGGTATTCATGGTTGGTGTCGTCGTGTTGTATCTGTTGCTTTCCGGAGAAGAGATGCTTTGAGGAGCTTATCGATTTGTTGAGTGCATAAAACTCTCGAGATGAAGTCAATGAGTAATGCAGTGCAGAAGCTGGGCAGTGGTAAGAAGTTTCCTCTCAACTTTTTTTTTTTTTTTTTTTCGAAATTATGTTGATTTTGTCATCTAAAAGTCTTACCTAGGGTGGTGCTTAAGATGCTTTTATACACTTTGTTGTTATTCACTAAAGTTTTCCCATAGACAATAGGTTTAAGCTTGCTCCTTTGACTAGCTTACGAAAAAAATGAGTCAATGCGTTCGAAAAAACTTGATTTCGCATACAACACCAACATTTAATGTGTGGAAAACATATTTTCATAGTGAAAATCAAGTTTTGAAACAATAGTTTAAGTATATAAAAAAACAAGGCATTACAAATAGTTGGGATGCATTTTTTGCAGCTGTATTCGAGTCGCATGATATTGGTGCATAATTGGCCCTTCGTGTTGTATTGCAGCTGCTCTCGAAAGCTTTTTCAAGTACCCGAGTCAAGAGAACACCTCGAATTACGAAAATACCCTTTCCACCCGAGACGACCCAGCCCCATGGTGGCAGAAACA